GAATTGAAGAAGTTTAGATTTAAACCGCAGGTTACCGTTAACCTTGCTGAAATGGAAGGATTCGGTCGCCGACTACGTCGCAACCTGGCACAAGTGCGTCGCCACATTGATAGTGTGGCTTCTATCTTGAACTACATCGAAGTACTCTTTTTTTGTACGTTAGTTTGAATTGGAGTGACGATGACGTTTAGAATAGAACGTGGCAGGTCGATGGATCTCCTGACAGAGTTGCATCCCATGCTCATCTCTTTTACTCGTTCGACTCCTATCCCGCTTGCTATTCCACCGAAAAGCCGATAGACTGCGTAACGACAAAATTCGTGCGAGCAGCCATGAACAAAGTTAAATGCCCCATATATGATATATGTGTAGGTCTTCATTATATTTTACGTTGGTTCGTTTTTTGTTTCTGTCGATTACCAGCCATGAATTTGTCTCACTCTTTGCGAGTCATGGTCTATTACAGTTTTCGACATATTCATACAGCACATGTTAAAAAATTTGGGAAGTGTTTTTATTACTAATTTCAGTGGCGTTTTTTACTGCGAAAGTTCCAGGGACTAAAAGCCAGCAGGCTATTAAAAGTATTGCATATTTTGAGTTAACAGAATTGTGCTCGGCGATATCCACCGTTGGCATCGTTTTGTGGCACGTCTGTGTTCTGCCGTCTTTGTACATGCGTTTTTAAATTCATTTAATGTTTCATTATTTTTCTCGAAGCTGGTGAATAAACGAACAACACTACCTGATACTGTTACAGAATATTCTAAGAACAAGTTTATGCGAGCAGTATATATATCCAACCTTTTCGCTGCACCTTCAAGGTCGGCCAATGACAAAATATATGGAATCGTACATCAGGGAGAAGCATGTCAAGGAGCTTTTTTCTGAAATCGCAACACTGGTCTTGGAATCCTACCATCAACGGGAAAATGGTTTAGCAACAGAGCGTGGTGATTAAGGCAAACCAGGTATTCTCTTTGCAGATAACTTGTTTAAGAATTTCTTAACTTTTTCTGTAGAGCAGCAGCTCACTGTAATGTCCGGTTATTTTTCATAGTACTCTGACTCCATATTAAGTCGTCATCTAACACAAGTTCAACCATTCCTTGGCATTGTCAGGGTTTTAATGACATTTTCTGCCTTATTTTTAAAGCTATTCTTTCACAGACGGAATTGAAGCCGTTCGTTTTGAAATATTTGTTTGATTTCAACTATCTGTACATCTCTTGCAATAGAAGCATTCTGGATATGGCACTATTTGTGGGGTTCATTTCTTTGTTGTGCACCAGCGTTCAACTCCATGCAACAGTACTTGTTTTAATGCTGCCCTCTAGACATAGCTCTAGTCTGGTCGAAATATTTTTCTCACAGAACGCTTCACTTCCGTACGTTCCAAATGGACTTCCCCGCAGTTCACTGCCTAGTTCTGGGCTATCTTGTATGATGAGAGACGATATCTGAGTATGTGGCTGCAATATGAGATGGTTTTACAGTTTCAGCGAGTTGTTGCCATTCGCGTCGCTTTACCAACCAGTCATATATATTTTCTGGGATAAAACCTCATTTTTAACAACTCCACGCTTCTTTTACCTCCCAGTAAGATATCGTCCATGTGGAGCATGCATCATTTAGCTGCTTCCTTCATATACAGATTTACGACGTTCATCACTATCGCAGAACGAAATGGGCTTGGTACCGATCCCCTAGCCAGAATTATTTCACTACATTCAGCTGTCAGTGTCTTTACAGTTCGGTCATATATTTCTTGATTGAGCGCCATAATGTTCTAAGAGCTGCTTCTTTTTCATTCTCCATCGTACATATTTTATCCTACTAGTCGTTTTCAGGTTTAGACAGTTCGTTGGCATGTGCCTGCTTTGTTCTTTATATGTTCATATTGCAGATTGTAGTTCAAGATAGCTCTCCCGTTGACCGGACTGTTATTAGACATTAATTTTTACGAGTATCAACACAATTAGCGATATTGGGGGGCATGTTTCTTGGTGTGGACAGTTTATTTAACATACGCAGTAAATACGCTTCATTTGCAAAACAGTCCGTTCCTTTACTGAGCATATCTATCATTGATTAATCGCCATTACGCTTGCGTCGACTTCCGGCCTTTCATCAGTTCATTATGTAGCGCAGAGAGCTAGGTAGCTCTTTCATATACTAGTGAATGGCTTGCTTTTGCATGGAAACTCCGCGTGGGCCAACTAACTTGCCTTTCATTCTTTTTTCATAGTGGAATTTTTATACTTGTTTCACCTATCACGATGGGTTTATTAACGCAGATGGAAGGATGCTGACCAGTCGTCGATCCGTAAGTAAGCCACCAGTTTTAGAAAAAAAACCAACTTGCTCATACAAGAAGACCGTAGAGCAACCTCATCGCCAGAAGCCACAGTTCCTTGCACAGCAATTAGAATACTTACCATGCTGTATTAAAGCGGATGCCGAGAACTCAGTCGAATTTTTCTATAATACTAAGTCATGAAAAATCACCGCTGACTGACCATAAGGCAGATGAGGAAATAACTGAATTGGTTTTGGAATGATTGGGGTTCACCCAGATTGGATCCTGACTGCGTAGAGATTTTTATTCGTCACATTAACCCTTCTTTAGAATGTGATAGGTAATATCCAATAAGCCTTCAAGTTGGAAATCTCTCTGACTGAGAAGTCCGTCCTGAATTAGGTTGAACACAGTCTATCCAAGCGTAATGTTCATTACACCAAAATGGATTAGTATCATAAAGAGGTTGAAAGCGATTATCTTGTTTGTAGCATAACTTAAGTATTTTGTTCTTCTTCTCACTCAGGCACCATTTTCCAGCAACTTATCGACAACCTGCCAGTTATATGCGGTTCTGCAATGCTGTTGTTGTAGCGTGCCTGAATCGTCGTTTTGCGTGGCATTTGTATTTAAAACCGAACTTCTAGTGCAAAGTCGCTTTTGTGCTCCTTTCTGCTTGCCGACTTAATATTGGTCATACGAATTCAGCTTCCAGAATATATAATTATAGCAGAAGGACGACAGCAGACTTCTCTTTGCCATTGACTGGTAAAATTCAGTCCCTTGATAATTCTCTCCATTCATGATAGATAAGAGGCCAGTGGTGAAATTCTGTGTGCCCGGACAATGCCTTGTTTCACTCACCGCTTCCGCCAGTATGTGCATTTTTTTGATTTCCAGAAAGCGTACATTCGTCTTTTATAACCCTAGGAATTCCCGCAGTGTATATTGTAGGCTTGAACTGCGAAATTTGACTGTTAACAGATAAACGGTTCAGTCTGGACATTTAGGTTTATTTGGACGATAAATATAAATCAGATTGTTTCTTTATTCTTGTTTCTGTTAGTGATGGCTAATCCGTTATGATTGAGAAGATAGCTCTTTTATTTAGGCATCATCTGGTTATTAACATCCAGACGAATGGATGGAATTATTTCTTAGGCGGGCATCTACTTCTTCTGTTGAATGGTTGGCGGAGGTGACTAGCAGCACTGTGGTTGAATGTTCAGATTTCTAAGCTAATGAATAATCTCCGCGGTAGGATTCTGGACGTCAGTTGTGCTGTCGTAGAACTTTCGCAACAGGCATGTCTCGCATGGTCTGATCTTCATTGCTGTAGTCACATTATGGGCTGTAAGGCTGTATTTCATCATTCAAAGATGGAGGAGGTGCCCGCAGTGCCTTTTTCCTGTCCGAATTCGATTTATCCTCGATCATATTTCATTAGCCAGGTTCATGCCAGGAGGTTATGTTGATGGGTTGAAGATAAGGTCTTTGTTGTGGACGGCTATAGCATGTCACTCTGCTTGTCACTGTACCTCGATACTAAATTGTGGCATCGTCGTTCGTTCTCATATTGAATGATGTGATTTCCCGCGCCGTGTCAAAAACTATGTTTTAGGACAGATTTATGAGAAGCTGGCGATTTGTTTCAACAAAATCTGGAAAATGCGAAACGCCTGCTAATTTCTGCGGTGGTGACTTGTTAAATGTTCTAGAATCGTTAACACGGCGTTTGATTTGGTTTCAGGGTTCCTTTTAAAACTCTCATGGCTTCATTGAGCTACGCGTGCCTTTTCTCATGTGGCAGCTGTAGTTTTAAACAAGGGAGCGGTACTCAGTGAAAGAGTACGTATCACTTTAGTACTTGCACCTTAACAGGTGTCGGTACGCTTTCGTAACAGGTTTATTCCCACCTTAATCTTCTGCTGTTTTTTAAATTTGTGAATTAAACATGAGGGTTAGATCAAAAGTGACGTCCAGGTGTTTCTTCATCATTTCGTGCAAGACGCATTAATGACAAAATTCCACATTTCCACTGAACGTGCATCACCCGCGAGGGCATCAGAACAAGGGATTCGAAAAAAAGAAATCCTTTTTACATCTCTGTCTCACATGCTGTAGAAATTAGCTGGTTTCGCGCCTCGCGGTA